AGAAACTTGAAAATAGATTTGTAAAAAATTGTCCTGAGAAAACAAAATTCAAGTATTTTGTGCACAACAACTTTATAAAGAAGCCATTGTAACTATATACATATATATGTATGTGTATGCGAATATGTATGCACATACGATGAATTTTGTGGAAGACTTTATGCCTCCCACGTTGTTTCTTGTGAATAACTGTTTATATCTGGGATCGAAATGGTTTTTCCACGATGGTTTAAAGTTGTGGAAACGTACGAACTTACAGAAAGCTGGGAGAACAGCCCAAGAGCTGTGTTCCCATCACTGTTGATCCCATTAGATCAACCGTTGTTCACGCATTGCATCGTTCACGGTGGTGGCTTTGCTGGGGAGCCCCCCCAGTCCCTCCCTCTTCCTCCCCTGGTCTCCTGTGGGTGTCCTGGGTGCTTTGGTACCTGCCTGCCTGAGCTGTGGCTTCTCAATGAGCACGGCTCTGGCCCTGGCTATTGTCACCCGTGTCACGAAAGTACTCTGCGTGTTCTTGTGTTCCTCCCAGTGTCCTCAGGTTGATGTCAGATTTTCAAGCATAGTGGTTTTGTTGCCTAACAGTGTGTTTTATATATATATAATTAGAAATTAAATCTGTGTTTCTCTCAAATGGAAACAGAACCAAATGGATAAACTTTATTTCTTCTTCTTAGCTACAGTACAGCTTTAAAAGAGCAGAGCCAAGGGAAGTGCACTTTGCCCTGCCTTCATTGGCGGTACCATTACTTGAATGATTGACTGTAGTCCCTGAGACAGTTGCACCTTAGGCCTGGAGCTTTATTTGGTGAAGTTTGGTGGAGGTGTGTTTTAAAAAGAAAGAAAGGAAAAAAAGCTCCCAAAAAACAGGGTTTCCCAAAGAAACCAGCATAGCTGGGTCTGCTGTGGCTATAACGCCACTGCTCCCGGCTGCCGGCTGGCTGCGAAGCAAGTGAGAACTCCCCTCTCTCCACCAGCGACACAGAAAGCCCACTTCCTCTCAGGGACTTTGCCCAGGAAACGGCTTTCTAAAGACAGATTTAAATCTCCGTTTTCTGCCGTTGAAGGTGGCAAATATGATTGCGGTTTTATCCATTTCTGCTGTAAATGAAGCGAGTTCAGACCGTCCGGCTGTGCGTCATGGCTTGGACGGCTGCCACAGCCTAATGCGGACGCCCCACTGGGAGAGCAGAGAAGAGCTCCACTTCGATTCCCCCAGATTGTGTTAAATAGTCCAGCTGTTGGATTTGAAAGATGGTTACCTCAGAAGCGAAATAGAAATGAACTTGGCATTTATGCCTCGAACCATTTTTACACTGTTTGGCAATCAGCTTTTCAGAGGCAGCATTTTATAAAATAACTCTCACTGCTTAAAAGTTTCATTCACTGTAATGTTCAGAGTGTCCCACCTTTATATTATCAGTAAAATTAAGCCTGAGTGATATGCAGAATTTGCATGAAATAAGCATTTCCCCCTTCATTTCATGAGCTTTGATTGTATTCAATTGAGCTCAGAACCATGTCGATTAGGGCTCTTCGGGGGCATTAGTTAATTTGAATTGCAGCCGAAATGTTAGCTAGAATGTTGTTGAATATAATTGGAACGTGAAAAGTTGATTTTGAAAGGAATTTCATTGAAGGCAAACAATGATTTGCTTTTTAAAAATTAGAACGTTACACTTTGGTCTCTTGTAACACGTCTGAGAAATCAGTAAGTCTCTTTATCAAGTTCGGCTTCAGCCCAGCCATTTGCGATTGTTCTGATTCTCCTGGCGATGGTACAATTTGGGGTCCAGTCTTAACACCAGCAAGTGGCCTTGCCTGCCTGAGCCTTACAGTTGGGGTAATAGTCGGTGCCTCCTTAGAAGGGCATCCAAGGGGCACTTGGGCATCAGGCTTTCTAGAATGACATGGATTGATACATTGCCTTCTAGGCTTTAATTTTGCCTTCTTGTGTTTGTGTTTCGCAATTGCCATTGAGCGCGTGGTCTAGAATGACGTGTGACGAGATCTATGTGAATGGATCATAAACAGCTACCAGATTATTGTAGTAAGAAGAAAAATGCGGTCATCAGAAAACAGAGATGCCGGCATTTGAGTCCTCTGCCATTAACCAGTAGTGTGCTGGTGGACAAATTGGACGAATCATCTCGCTTCATCCTTCTTGGAGTCTTCACATGACAAGTGAAGAGGTTAGGTTAGTTCCAGGTGGGGATCCCTGACAGGCTGAGCATCCCATAATTTTGATCTTTGTTGGCATCACCTAGAGGGCTCATCTATCACCAGCAGGCTTTGTGCGTACTGACGCTCGGTTCCTTATTGTGGTCACTGCTTTTAGATGCTGCGTCAAAGCAGAAGACAGCACGACCTCATCCCTATGGGGTTTGTTCCACTTGAGCCTCCATCATTTCCACCCTGGGGAGAAGCTTTCCATAAAATTTTCTAGAAACTGCTCCCATGACTGCTGCAAGTCAGTGCCTTGTGGGAGTGGCACTAGAATGAGACTGTGGAGGAGAGGCCCTCATTCCATGGGAGCCGCAAGTACTCCTCCCCCGCCTCATCAGGACCAGACCAGGTCAGAGCCAGAGGACAGAGAAGCTGGGCTGGTCTGGAGGAGTGGGCACTGGAGAGCTGAAGCCCACAGGGGAAGCATTCAGAGGGAAAGTGGTCAGGTGGGCCTGTGGTATCACTCCTACTTCCGGACACTGCCTCTGGGAGATAGTGCCATGGGCATGGCAGGATCAGGGTGGCAGGAGCTCCTGGCCCTTGCTCTGGCTCTGCCACAGCCACTCAGGAGCTGTGTGGGGCTGAGGCCAGACTTGTCCCCTCAGCATGCCTCGCTGGCCTTGTCTGCACATGGACAGGTCAGGCTGCATGACTGTCCCAGTCCCCTTCTGCCTTGCCCCACTGGGATTTCAAGACAGTGGTCATTGTCCATGAGATGCAAAGAAATACGCCCTTTGCCTCTGGGTCAGTGATTGGGCAATAGCTTCATCTGCAGTTGAAATTTTTTGCTTCAGAATACACAAGGAGTTCTTTGAACACAGCCAGGTTGGTCGGGGGTGGGGAAGGACTACTTGGGCCTGACCTTCTCAGGTTTCTGGGTTTTCAGTCCGCCTAACACCTAAGCAGTACCATTGTGGAGCCCTGAGACCACTGCCTGAAGGTCATTAGTCCTCGGCTGGCGAAGACGCTTTTGCTAGGATGTGTTCACCAGCCCTCTGCCTGCAGACACATGGGAAACTACCCTGGTGATTGTCCGGAGTAACGGAGGTTGGTATGAGCTGGGGTCATCCACCCAGAGCGGGAGGAATGCCTCCTTTGCATGCTTCGAGCACACTGGCTGGCTTCCAGAGCAGCAGGCTCAGGGACCCACAACGGTGAAGCCAGACAGGTGGCTTGGCCCACAGGCTTTGTCGTAGCTTTTATCCTGACCCACGCTGGACTGCAGCTTCATTTCCTAGAGCCCCTGGCCCATTGATTTCCAGTATAGAGTTAACCCCAGGAGAAATCTGGATGAGCTGTAGAAGGCAGCTGTGAAGTCACAGACTTTTTAAAAGCTTTGCTAAGATGCTGAAGACCTGTGCAGGGCAGGCTCCTTTCAGCTTTGCACCTTGTCCTGGTGTGGGCAGGCAGCTGGCTCAGTTCCTCCAACACTTTCTCCTGCCTCCTCCTGCAGCTTCTACAGATCCAGGGCCTGGTGCATGTCCAGCCCACGGCGGGGAAGGGATGCAGGGTCCCTGGTGGGCCGTCTGTGCCCTCAGGATTGGTGCCTGTGGGGGACAGATGCAGCTCTTGTCTGTCCGTGGCTGCTTCTGCTTGGTGGCTTTCCTTCCCAGCTGGCAAAACAGCCAAGTGCAGGTTCAACCAGGGCTGGCTGCCTCTAGCACCTAAGGGATGATCCCCATAGACAAATCCTTCCTGTCACACGGTGGTTCTGCTTCTCCAGTCACAGGCTTTTACCCTGGTGGCCTGGGTCAGAGAGGGTCCAACCTGGGACCTCCCAGGGGACAAGTGGTATCTGCTGCCAAAGTAGATGGGCAGCCTCCTGGTGGCTTCTGATGAGTAGCCAGAAATTAAGGGCTTTTCTCAGCCCAGCACTGTCCTCTCATCCTCCTGATAACCAGCCTGTGCTTTCACTAATGCCACAGAAGACTGAGCTACTAGGATGACGTGCAGGTCACATGGTTCCATCACCCCATAGCCACAGCAAGCAACATCACTTGGGCAGAGCTCATGGGGCTGGTCTTCAGACCAGCATAGATAGAGCCACTGGAGCCGAGGCATTCAGGGCCCTTTCTCTGCAGTTGACCCTCTGCTGTCTTTGCTGTAAAAGAAAGACTTCCCCTCCTGCTTTCACCAACACCCTGCTTGCTCCCCAATTCACTCTGAGCCCTCCACAGTGTTAGTGTCCACTCATTTCATTTCCCCCTCAAAAGGGTTTGTATGAGGTGCTGGTGTGGAGTTGCAGACACAGCGAGGCAGCCTAGTGCCCTGTGGTAAGTCGAGCGAGGGAGAGGTGCAAGTTTGGTTAAGAGACGCAGGCAGATCCTGGCTGCCAAGGGTGCCTTCCCCTTCTCCAGGCTGCAGACTCACAGCTCATATGCAGGCAGCTGCAGCCTGGGGTATGAGGGAAGGAGGCTGATGGATCCTGAGGCCAGGCAGGCAGAGGCAGGCAGAGGAGAGAACCGTGGTGAACTCCCGAGGTTTGCACTTGCCAAGAAGAGCATGCAGGCAAGCAGGTAGGTGCATTTGGTTCTCTCATAACTTCTGCAGTTAATTGCTCTGACCTTTTCTGCCTTTCTTCTGTCCTTGCGCTTCTTAATTTATAATCTGATAGCTTCTTTGTTTTTTTGGAAATGGCTGGCATCTCACACCGCTATGTGCTTGTTGATTAGACTTAGAACCCTGGGCTTTTGTTGTTGTTGTTGATCTGAATCCAGTAGTATGACAGACACGTCTTTGCTCTCTTCTTATTTTTCTGTGTCACTCTCCATCCTTAGGCCTCCCAGTAGCATTGGATACAGGAGAAAGTACATTGGCGGTGAAAATGACGCTGAAGCAGTTGTAGTTTTAGATCCCGTTTCCTCAAATGAACCCCATACCAAAGACCAGGTTGCTGAACAAGAGCCTACTCAATGCAAGGAGGATGGAGGCGAAACGAAACCAGAACACAAAGATGGCAGCACCGAAAAACTGAGCGAGACAGACAGCTCCAGCTGCTGACGCATCTCCCAGAAGGCTGATGCTTCGGAGGTCATTTTCACGAAGCACACGACTCGCTGTGGCGTGGGGCCGGGGCTGCAGGTGCCGCCGTAGTCACTGCCCTCACATTATGTATTCTTTTCCAGTGTCACTTTTGTAAGTAGCAACTATAAACATAAGTAAGCTTAAGTGTAGCAAGACGCACATTCTGCATAGTTTCCTCATTTTGTTTTGCAGTTCATAGGGATAAGGTTTTTCCTAGTTTATTGTCTCCAGTATGACTTCTTTCAGAAGATTCTAGACTGATCCTTTAGGACATGTGCATACCACTCATGATGTCATGTGATGCCCAGATTCCAGGTGCAGGCAGGCACCTGGAGGAGCAGAGCTGCCCGGGTCCACCTGGTCAGGAAAGCTCTTGTCCCCTTGTGCAAGAGCCAGCACACCTGAGCTGTTTTCTCTAGTGGACCGAGAGAACACTCAGGAGCTGGCCTCAAACTAGCTGTGCCATTGTCTTCATTACACAAATTATTGACCATTGGCTGAAAAATACAAGCTACTGACCGTGCCCAAGCCTCCCAAGGACTTCAGTGGGACTGGACTGCTCTGGTGGCCTGAACCCAGGACCCAGGTCAAAGTCCAGACCTTGAATTTCACAATCCTATTTTTGCAAACCCCGTGCTCAGAGTTCATTATGTTTTCCCATAGACTGCTGTGGCACAAGGACCCCGTTTGACCCCAGTTCTTAAGTGCAGTGAGGGTGAATAGGTGAGTGACAAGCACACACTTCCCTTGCTTCACTGCTGTTCAACAGCACACAGGGGGCTTGTTTTGTTTTGTTTTGTTTTGGTGGTGTTTTTCTTTTTTTGAAGAAATTAAGTGGTAGTTAGTCTCTGAAAAATACAATGTCCAGGCTACTACAGTGAATACATAGAAATATAATCAGGGATTTTAAAAAAGAGAAACTTATGCAGCTTTTCACAGTTGATTGTTTCAAAATTGATGTTTATTTAAAATAAGTGGTAATGTACTTGAATGCACTTTTTTATGACAATGATTCAGTCACGGTAATTTTACTATTAAAGAAAGTAAAAGGTTTAGTTTTATTAGCATGACTCAGCATGTAACTGTCAGGTGTTTCTCACCTAAGGGTGAAAGGAAACGACAGTAGCAGTAGTTGCAGTGTATTGTATTTTTGCACGTGTGCTAAGCGTAGGCTTGAAGAGGTGGGTGGGCAAGTGGAATGTACTTCCTGACTTTGGAGATAATTGTCTTTCTGTGGGTTTGTTTTGCTTGATGATTTCCATGTTGTTCTGTAATGGTTTTTGCAGTGACTTACCCGTTTAACTCATGGGGAATTGAAATGTAATGTGTTTCAACCTTGTTTTTCCCAACCGGAACAATACTGCTGTACGGGATACTAACTGTAGACCCGACTCACTTCAACAAGTCCTGTTAGGCTGCGCTTTCAACCCTCCTTCCCACAACTTATTAAAAAAAAAAACAAAAAAACTCCAGTGGTTTCTCATTAAGGCTCAGTTATACTTATTGACATTTTGGGTTTAGTCTTCCATGCTTGACCTTCTCTAACAGGATGATTGCCTACAAATTGATACTTTGAGTAATTTTTAATAATTCACAAAATAGTTTACTTTGAGGTCTTTGGTTTCCTGTTCGTTTCTGCTCTGCTGTCTAGCCCCAGTCTGCCGGTGCGGTGTGCATCATGGACACCCTAAGCAATAGAAAAGCACACTCACACATAGATATCAACAAAACGGTGTGGGGGTTAAACGGCTCCCAGCCCTTGGGCGTGAGGTGGTAGCTGGAGGGCCACGGTAAGTAACAGACATTTCAGAAGCCTTCCCATCTTACTCCCTGTGCTTCATCATGACCACAAAGAAGTATAAATGAACCAGGTAACGTGTTGGGTGCAGGGCATTTCTTTCTCCCGTGCCTGCCTCCACATCTTCCTTGTGCAATTCTGAGCAGGTTTCACCCTCGGGTGACACCATCAGCAAAAGCAGCTGATGCTGGGTGGAAGACCTGGGAAGGCCAGGGCTTGTACCTGGGAGGCGCATGCCTGGCTGTTGGCATGATGTACACTACATGCACATACAATTTAACAGTTGCATCCTGATGTGTTTCCTACGAATGATTATTTATCCTTCCCCCCCCCCCCCATTTTGGAAAGCTGATAGGTTGGGTCTCTATTGCTCCCGTTTTCCTAACTGATACTGATGTATTTTTTATCACCAGGCACAGCAGTAGCGCTACTTTGTTCTGTCTCAAAGTTTTCTTGTCCTTTTCTGGGAGAGAAAGAGCGTGATAAAAACTCCTGCCCCCTTTGGTATCTGCGCTTGTTTCACAGGAACTTGAGTGACCATCATTTCGCCTTGGCTCAGCCATGTGGAAGTGCCCTCTACCAGAGGTCCCAGACGGTCAGAACCCAGCCTCGCTGGGCCTGAGTCAGAGGAATGCACATTGCAGCTCCAAACAGCCCTCAGTGACTCCTCCTCCCTTCCTTCTTGGGTAATACAAATGCTGTTGGAAATGGAATAGGACAGGCTCAAGTTTAATATCTCCCCAGACCATTTTTTGTTTAAGGTTCATGTCACAGAATCTTAAAAACAGAGTCTGGGGTTTTATCTTTCTAAGTGCACATTGCACCTGCCTGGTCACGTGCTTCAGGGAACAGTGTTAGCGTCCATCCTCCTCCCCCGCCCATCGTGGGGGGGACGGCCATCTGTTGTCACAGGCCCGAGCCAGCAGTCCTCACAGGAGGACAGTGAAGCACATTGGTTTCTTTCATCTCTTATGGGTCATGTATGCTTCATATAAATATGCTTTATATATTCTCCAGAAGAAATTAGAAGAATAAAAGTAGTGTTCAACTCATGGAGAAACTGAAATTAAAATTCTGCCAGTGCAGCTATGAGCCCAGCCTACCTGTGAGGTGAAGGTAAACAGACTGTCCTCTGCTGAAGTTAAAAGGCTGCCCTGGTGAAGGCACAGAGTCACCTTGGGTTAAGCTAATTCAACTGTTTTGTCACTAGTTGTAATTTTTTGCTATGGTTTTATTCATTTTCATGCACGCCACATTATTTCTGTGTGTGTGTGTCTGTGGATACTTGCAGAGGCTATTGTGAACACCCAGTCATCCTCATCCTGCCTTTAAAATGAATTTTTGTGCCTGTTGCTCCTCCCCTGTTGTTTGTTGCTAAGCATCAGGAGAGACAGTAGCAGCTACAGCTATGTCACAGGTTTTCCCCACTTAAGAGTGCCACCAGCCAGTTCTCCTGCCCTGTGCTCTGAGAGTCGGCCACCAAGCTGACTTCAAGCCATGGCTTCTACAGGAAGGGCTCAGCTCTACCACAGGGACATTAAGCTCCCTTACTGATGCTCTTCAAAAGGTCAGGTCCTCGGTGTGCTTAGTACAGATATATAGAACAAACAACAAGTCCATGCTTAGCCATCATGGTCCACCTGCTGTGGACTTTGCTGTGTCTACATGTAAAGGCTTGAGTGCGCCTGGGGCTTGTGCCCCTCAGCCATCACCAAATAGCAGCTTATGAAACAGCAGATTCAATCAAGAAAGGTGTCACCTCACTTTTTTTTTTAATCACTTACAGATCTCTTTTTAAATGCCACAGCTGAAATAGCTGGGCAGTTAGTAACCTTGAAAATATTCATTGACCTACTTATTTATTTATACCTACTACTATCCCAAGAAGGATGTAAAGAGACTCAAGAATTGTAGAAGAAAAGCTAACATTTAAAAAGCAGAGGAATCAGGGAAAAGGGAAGGCAGGGAGAGAGAGCAAGCTACAACTGACCACTGACCTGGAGACAGGAATGCTTCCATGTGGGACCATGCCCCCTTTGGGAAGGCACGCACACAAGATGTAACCCCTGGTTCAAAGCACAGAGGGTGTCCCTCATCATTAGGTTTCTTCTGGTTTGGGAGATGCTTGGATCAGTAAAGGAGAAGGTGTTTGTGCAAAAACACTGGCCTCTTTCATGAGGTCCCAGTCCTGCGAAGTGGACAGCAGCACCAACAGATAAGAAAACCGACCCCATGCAGATGTGACGCCTTGTAACACACAGCTCATAGATGCTACTCTAGGCAAAAACTAAGCATCTGTTGGACCGAACAGTGACAAAGAATACAAAGGGCATGTGAGATGGGTTCCGGAGAAGGTTCAGTGTGGAGCCAACTGTGCCTTGGGACCCCCAGGCAGACAGTGCTCCCCGCATGGCCACAACAGCAGGCGAAGGTGCTCACATCCTGGCCGAGTCCTCCGCAACCTCCGTGGGGAAGATGGGCTCGATGGGCTCAAGCAGCTCACCAGTGGCAGCTGCCTCAAGTGTCTTTTCAGCCTCCTCGTTTACATAAAAAAATGTGTGCTCTTCGTGGGGGCCTGTTGAAAAGGACAACTGCAGTCAGGGTTACTAGTGAATCCATCAGTGGGTCATACTGACATCAGTGGAGACTCCAAACCTACTGGGACCTGGGCCTGTATTTACTGATACAGTTGTCTTGAGTGTATGTACCCATATACAACCTTCTCAGACATTCAGCAGAGGATGGGTGGGCTTTGGGCAGAGGCTTAACAAAGATAAGAGGAAGGAGGTGAACCAGGTTCTGCCTGAATACGAACCAAACTACTGCAAACCCAGGCTGGCGATGGCTATGACTTGAGCCATCCCTGTCAGCGCCTTATAGGTAATGGTGGTATTTTAGTAGCCGAGCTTTTGCCAAGATTGCCTACTCACAAGTGGGAGCACAGATATTTTCTGTTGTCCATAGCATTCATTGACCACTGACTGCCATTGTCAGAAAAGTTCTCAATCTATCTGTGAGTCCATTCTAGACTGAGGAGGGCTGCCCTCTAGCCACTGGTGTCACTTCTGATGCCTTGAAGCACCTGTTGTTTTCCTTAGGCAGATTAGCAAGGATTGAAACTAGCAGGTCATTGAAACGAACCTAAAGCCTCTGTGAGTGAGGATAACAGGTGAAATCAGACAATGCAGAATAAGGCTTTGCATCACACACTACAGGACACTGCCCTCTATCCTTACATGACTTCCGATTTTGTCTGTCCTGGCTATGGATCTTAGCATGTGTTAAACTTGACAGGTATAAAATCATCATGTCTGTGGGTCTCTTAAAGGTCTGGATCCCAGCGCCTCCTTTTGACCATTCACAGTCAGCAGCAGGGAAAACAGAAGTGCCTATTTGGGTGTCTCCCTGCAGGCAGGCAGTTCACAAGGCACTTCTCATCATGCAAATTCACTAAGGTTTCATTTTATAAATGATGGGTTCGTGTCTCCCGAGCTGTCCGCCTTCCCAAGGCACAACCTTAGCATTAACATGCTGTTGCCGGCCGGCCAGACCCATCAGGAAAACATCTGCCTTTCACTCTCACGGCCTGTGCAGAGAAACCTTTAGTATGGTGTGGGCCATCACAAAAGGTAGGCTTGTAGATTCCAATCAATTAATTCTATTGAAAAGCATCACGCAGCCTATTCAGCAAGAAGGGAGAGAGTTTTAAACATTCAGGTAAATAGATAATCCATTAGGACAACAATGCACGTTGTGGGGGAGCGCCAGCCTAGTTTTGTCAGCACTTATTTATGGTCCTCGGGTTCCCGTGCCCTCCTGCCGAGGGACTTGTATTCCCCCTCTCCCCATCTTTGTTCACTTATTCATGGCAAGGGGAAAACAAAGAAGGAAAGCAGTGCATACTCAGCGCTCCATTCTGGATGAGCTCTTCCTCTATAGTAAGCAGGCGGTTGTATTTAGTCACCCACTCGCCTCGAGAAAGACCCCCCAACTTGATAAACCGGACGCCGAGTCCAACAGCCTGAAGAGGGAGAAACAAGTTAGTTTAAAAGGGGTGGGGTGGATCATTTTTGCTAACCCAGAAGCAGTTCTTGAAGGAAAAGGGAAGCTGTCACGGTGTGCTCTTGGGGTTTTCTGCCTGTTAGTTTGGTTTGGTTTATGTGAGTAGAGCTGCCTGCTTTCAAGCTTGGAGTGTCGGAAGGCCAGCAGGTGGTGTGGCTGATTGTCCCTAAGACTCCTTGCTGGCACTGGCCATGCAAGCGAGCTGGGCTTCTCTCGGAACAGCCTCTCCCCGACTTCATTTTCGGGAGGAAGATTGCCAGCACATACCCCAGTCATTTAAGTGTACTCATCATTTTCCCCGGACTTCAATTTCTCTCCTTTTTAAAAGTTCAAAGATTAGCTCTTTGCAAAAGGTAGCTGTCTGGGAGGAAGCCAGTCTATTTCATGAAAGGTTACATGACTTTCTCCACCAAAGACTGCATTTCTCTGAAATACCAGTTTGTGTTAAAAGCAGTGTTCCGGCAATTCTGCAATTGATCGGCGTTGAGCACTTACCAGGTCGACAAGGCTGTCATCAGTGGCTTCTCCATCCGGACTGCCCAGGATGGTGATGTGCTTCTTGCCTGCGGGAGCAATTCCAGTCACTTTCCTATGGTGCGGGAACGATTAGCATGCTTGTGTGCGCTGACAAACTACCAGACACCTGTGGGACCACCTAAGCTTTCTAGCCAGAGTGCCTATCACCTGGTGTCTCTCTTTCCTCGTCTTCACAGTAATCTGGGTGTGGTACTAAATGGAGCCTGTGGCTGCTCAAATTTCAAGAATACATACCAGATGCATCATATTTTATGACCACTGCCAAGAGGGAAAATGCTCAGATTAGACCAGCACATTTCTAAGACCACAGCTGTTCTAGGCAGGATGTGGTTTTGTTCAGTGTAGACAACGGTGCGCCTTTGAGCCAGTGTAAGGTGGTAAGTTCATGGGCAGTGTTTGCAGGGTCCACCAGAGGCCGATATGGTAACGGCTTTCTCTTACTTCACCGGGCCTTGTGCTCAAAGGAATCTCAGAGTGTTCAGCAGAAGACTCAGGATGACCATGTTGGGCCCATCTTTTCCAGCTCGTAGCATTTTACAGGCAGGAGCTGAAGGGACCATGAAGGGAGAGGACAGGGCAGGGGCTTCCCACCTACCGCAAACTAGCGTGGGGTTGGGGTGAGTGAGTGCTGTCAGCCCGGTGCTGGGTCCTGCTCCAGGTTGGAGACTAGCTTTCTACCTGGGTCCTGAGACCCACCCCTGTGCACCAGACACAAACTCTCAAGGAGTTTGCAGCCTAGTGAGGGTTACGATTCACCAAGTAAATGTCTACGCCACTGTGATCAGTACCACAAGGAGGAAAGGAGGCATGCGGTGAGGTGGGGGAGACGGGGAGGAACGCACAGCTGAAGAGGTTTTCTCTATGCCAGGTCCGGAGGAGTTCGCCAAGTGTTCTAGGCAGAGGAATCATCACAGAGTGAAGCACTAGGGAATTTCCAACTTGAAGGGTTAGCCAAAGCGCTAGGGCGGGCCACTGTGGCACGGTGGGAAAGAGACCCAACCTTGGCAAGCTTTGTTTTCTCATCAGTGAAGAAGTGAAGATGATGCTCACTTCGCAGGGCTGCTGTAAAGAGGACATCCCTGATGCTCCAGTGCCGGAGCCACCAGGTCTAAATAAAGCTGCTGACTGTGGTTTTATTCTCAGTACCCGAGTCTGGCTTTTCAATCCCCACTGCTGGCGTCCTGATGCTATGCAGTCTGGCTTGCCTGCTTTGTGGTGAACCCACCGGTGCCCTAAGTCTCTGTGTTCCCGATGGGATCCTTGTTGGCTGTATTTATTTTGTTTTTAATTTAGTTGAGAGCAGTGACGGCCTGAGCTGGGCTAGGTCAAAAACCAAAAGCCAGGAACTCAATCCAGGTCTCCCCTGTGGGTGACCAAAACGTGAGCCATCACTGCTCCCTCCCAGGGTGTGCAGTAGGAAGAAGCTGCAGCCAGCAGCTGGGGACAGGCACCGTGGGTTGGGATGAGGACATCCTAACCATCAGGCCCAGCACCTGCTGCCTGTTGTCTCTTCCCTGCAGTGGCCAATCTGATCCCTGTGCAGATTAACACGGCCCACTGGTGGGTGTCGTATCACAGCTAGCTAGGTTTGTTTTCAGTCCAGCAATGACTGCACTTGGGCTGTGCCATTGTGGAGGAAAGCTAGATTCTATAGTATGAAGGCAAATGCATAGAAAATAAATCTAAAGCACGAAGTGGTAGCATGGGCAGGAATTTACAGAGCCTAAACTGTGGGATTCAGGCTAAAATGGTGTGCCCCGCCTCCGTGCATGGTTATCATTTTTCTCCTCACTTGAGCGTTGCATTGTGTCTGGAAATCTGGCTAGGGCAGGCGCACACCCAGGTGTGTTTCAGTCCGCGATTCAGTTAGACTGCTGCTCCTCAGCAGTGAGGTTGCAGTAATCCTCTGAGTTTCTCTACATGCAAAGTTTTTTTTTTTTAAATATTCATTTGAAAAAGTTATAAAGAGAGGGAGAGACTGAGTTCATCTATCTGCTGATTCACTCCTCAGATGATTGCAATGACTAGGGCTAGGGCAGGCCAGAACAAGGAGCCAGGAGCTACATCTGGTCTCCCCACGCGGGTGGCAGGGGCCTACGTACTTGGGCTATCTTCCTAGGTCATCTGCAAGGAACTGGATTAGAAGTGGAACAGCCAGGACCAGAACCCATATGGGATGCTGGCATTGCAGGCAGTAGCTTTACCCACTATGCCACAATGCCAGCTCCAAGTTCAGAGCCCAAAGTAAACTCATCATGTGCCCAGCCAAACCCTTTCAGAAGAACTAAGGTCTTGATCCTGTTGACAACACTGGACTGAGAGGAGTGAAGGGCATGGCTTTATGGACAAGGGCTATTATGGAAGCGTTTTGAATCATTGAATTGGAGCTTTGATTTCTGCACTATCTCAGAAGTGGTTGGACTGTTTTGCCCTCTAAGATGTATTCTGTGTTGTTGTTTTAAAGAATGAGCTGTGCCATAGGCATGCTGTTGGCTGCCATGCAGCGGGTCGCTAGGACCTTTTTGATGTATACCTTTACTCACTGTCAATAAGAGTGGTGATCTCCACCAGGTCGGACACCGTGGTCTGATTGGTGTGTTTCATGATCCTCCCATTGGATTTGGGGCTGTTGACATCTCCACACTCGAGAAGTTTGGAAATGCTTTTGGATGCAGCTCCTGCGATGATGTGACACCGGGACCCAAGAGCATTGTGGATGCTGTCCCAGTGCTCAGAGTCCTGGGGATCAGTTAAGGATTGGTTGTTAGGTTGGAACACTGTCACACACAGGAAACATTTGGTGCATGATCAAAAGAACATGCTTTTCCCCAAGATACACAAGCAGTTTTCTTTTACATCTGCACCTAAGTGGTTCCCTGTGCCTCAGCCAGGTAAATTTACAAGCTTCACAGACCAGAAACTCAGACTGATGGGATTTGGGCCTTAAAGATCTTATAAGCAAAATGCTAAGTGACTGCAGAGTTCATCAAACCCAGACTGTCCCATGTACTGGGTTGCCATACCGTTGCTAGAGACTGACTGCTATGAGGTTTTGTTTTTTGGTTATTTCTAATCACAGAAAACTGAAACACAGCCTGCAAGGGGCTCTCGGCCCCCTTTCTCAGCAGCCTTGTTTCTACTGGTGAGACCTCCACGCAAAATGTTTAAAAAGTTGAACATATGTGTGTGTGAGGGGTGGGAGCATGTGGGTGTGTCTGCATACCCAGTCATCCCAGAGGGTGCTGGACTGGGTTTCGGCCATTAGGGCTGACTAAGCAGGTGCATGCTGTCCTTGGCCAAAGCTGCAGTCAAAGCATCAGGACGACTGCCAGGCCGGTCTGATCCAGTTACAGAAGTGAGCTCTGTGGCTGTGTGGCCCGCACGGTGAAGGGTACATTGGAGTGAGAGGCCCTCCGTGTTCACACTGTGCCCAGACCTGAAGAGCTGGCTTATGTCAAAAAGCATGTATCTTCACTGAGTCTAATGACTTTCTTTTTGTTAAATTTTTATTTTGAATTTTGTGGTACAATTTCGTGTAGACTGGATTCCCCCTCCCAAATTCCCACCCCCCCACAGATTTTTCCCATATTGCTACAATGGCATAGTGAGTCTTTAAATCTGGGAGTCTGGAGTCTGAAGTACATCAGGTACACAGTTGGTCTTTTTTTTTTTTCAAAGACTGCTTTATTTATTTAAAAAACAGAGTGAGATGGGGGGGCGGGGTTGAAAAATTTTGCATCCACCAAGTCATTCCCTAACTGGTACCAACACCCGGGGCTGGGCCAGGTCAAAACACAAACTTGTAATTCCACTTGGGTCTCCCACATGGGTGGCAGTGGACCCAAGGACTGGGGCCATCTTCCACTGCTTTCCTTTGCACCTTACGAGGGAGCTGGATCAGAAGTGGACTCCAACCTGCATTCATGTGAAATCTGAGATGCTGGGGTTCTAGGCAACAGCTTAGCCCACTGCACTAACACTAACACTAGCCTTGGGAGCTGGCCTTGCACAGCAAAAAGAAAACTGTTGCCAGATATACTTGTTTGAGGAGATCATAAAACTTCAGCCCTCAAACCTTTTTTAAAACACAGCTCTGTCTAATGACCAGGTTGCCCGCATCCCACATTGGAGAGCCTGGCTTCATTTTTCAGCCTTGGCTCCTGCCTCTAGCTTCCCCGCCAGTGCAGAGACTGGGAAGCAGTAGCCGAGGCACGGGTGGTAGGGCTGCTGCTACTGATGCCCACATGTGGGACCTGGGTTGAGTTCTTGCTTCTGAGAGTTTGGCTCTGGCCCCTCTCGTTGCAGTCATTTGGGAAATGAATCCGTGGGTCGGAGCTCTACCTTTCTGCCTCACAATTTTTTTTTTAAGTTTTTAAAAATATGGCTTTGTTAACTTGTATTCATACATTGTAAGTGGATTTAGGCTAAAAACGATTTGGCCTCGTAGAGGTCCCGTTTCTACGAGCACATGGAAATGATATATGATTAACCTATTGAAGCACCAACTGGCACAGCAGGGGTGACTTCCAACGGGTAGGCGGCCTATAAATACCAGGGACTCCTGCAGGACTTCCAAGGGCTTGTTTCATTCCCCAGACTGGCACACTCCCAGGTAATTGTGTGTCTGCTATTCGTTTGAGTCCTAAGTGCCTTTCTCTTAAATGCTGATATAAAGCAACTCAACCCCAGCCCAAATTACAACGTGTTTCAAATGACAGAGATTTTCTTCAGTTTTGTTATAAGGATTTTAAAAGGTGGGTCCTGCTTACCTCCTTCCTGAAAGGATCGATTAAGGCAATGATGGAGGGGTACTTGTTGAGGAGCTCCACGTACAGGTCAACCATCTCGGCTCCGTTTTTGTACGTGCCCGTCACCACTTCATACTTTCCTCGACTCTGATGGGCGTGAGGACAGTACGAAAGGATAAGCAACACGTTCAAATGCCCAAGATGCACCTCGTGTTCCCTCTCATTTGCTTCATCTGAAAGATCGTAAACTGCCTGCCTGGGCCACATTCACCTGAAAAAATAATCTGTGCATTTCACGTTAAATATTTTGTATATATTAACCTGGGAGAATGAAGGCATCATCCCTCTTCCCGCAGGCTCCGGATGAAAGCTGCACAAAGAGCCGACAGGTAAGAGTGGGAGGGGGGTCCTCCCTTGTTTGGATTTCAGGCATGGTTCTAGTAACCTGGCTGCCTGGGTGCAAGAATACCCCAAATTCATATAACTAACGGAATAGCCAAGCAGACCTAACCACTCACCAGAATATACCACATTACTACTCCCTGTGAACAAATAACTTGCTTCCTTTAAATACTCTAAAATTCAAAAGCAAGACTTTCAGACACTAACAGCCAACACGGAACGTAAAGTGATATATGGGAAGGCAAATGCCAGGTAGCCTGCCACTTCTTGTAGTAAAGGTGTTATCCTGTAGGGTGCTAGTGCAGTTCTGTTCATTTGAAGTCTGAAAAGCTGTCAGTATTATTTACAGGGGTAAACTAGGCGGATGGGGGGGGTGATCTAGTTCAGCCTTTCTGAAAAACAAAGTACTTTCACTAATTTCTTTTTTCATTTTATTTGAAAGGAAGAGAAGACCTGGTGCAATAGCTCAACTGGCTAATCCTCGTCTTACAAGTGCCAGGATCCCATATGGGCACTGATTTGGGTCTCTGCTGCTCCACTTCCCATCCAACTCCCTGTTTATGGCCTGGGAAAGTAGTAGAGGTACCCCCAAAAGCATTGGGACCCTGCACCTGGGTGGGTAGATCTGGAGGAGATCCTGGCTCCTGTCTCCTGGCTTCTGGCTTCTGGCTTCAGATTAGCTCAGCTAACCTGGGGAGTGAACCAGCACATAAAAAATCTTTGTCTCTTCTGTGAATCTGCCTTTCCAATTAAAACAAACAAACAAACAAAAGCCCCCAAACAGGCAGAGAAAGAGATTGAGACAAAGACCTTCCCTCATTTCCCAGTTTTCTACAACACTTGGAGCTTGGGCCAGGCCACAGTCAGGAACCAGAAACTCAATCCAAGCATGCTACATGGTGGCAGAGACTCAACCAACTAGAAGCATCACTGCTGCCTCCCAGGGTGTGTGTTAGTAGGAGGTGGGGCTCTGTAGTGGAGCCAGGACTTGCACCTGGGTGCTTCAATATAAGATGCACACATCCCATGTGGTCACGTGGCTGTTGTACAGAATGCCACCCTACCCTAGGGCCAGCATTGTGGCAAAATGGGTTAGGTTGCCATCTGCAATGCTGGCATTCGACATGGGCCCAGTTTGTGCCCCTACTTCTTCACTTCCCAACCATCTCCCTACCGATGCTCCTAGGAAAGCAGCAGAAGGTGGCCCAGGTGCTTGGGCCCCAGTATCCATATGGGAGACCTGGATAAGGCCCTTGGCTCCTGGCTTTGGAGTGGCTGTTGCAACCATTTGGGGAGGGGCGGTGTGGACCAGCAGATGACAAATTCTTTGTCTAACTCTGGCTGTTTAGTTTGCAAACAGCTTCCTGCTGCTATGAACAGAGTAGAATCCATTGGATTTAAGCAGTTCCCAAGAAGCCCCTAACTGAAGGAATTTTAGGCATTTTTTTTTTCACATGAAAAAGCAGCGAGAACTTTAACTTCTGTAATGCAAACCTTAAAATCACACACTGTCCATGAGGAAATGCTCATGACTAACATTACTGTAAGAATGATCTGATATCAAGTTAATACATTTTACCCAATCTAAGCAACAAGTCCCTGGTCTGGTCAGCATCAGCAGTCGGCACGGTCCTCACTCCTGGCCAATGCTGCTGATGAAAGCGAGCAATTATTTCTCCTAATGGTGTGCCTAGGAACCAATCATTACGCGAAGAAGAAATTACTTTAAACATTCCTTCGTGAGCTTAGTTTCTTTAGGAAAGCAAAAGAACTTTTAGAAATCAGCTGAAACTTAGAATGCTTAGGTACATTTTCGAATTTTTTTTTTTTTTTTTAGTTAAAAGTTGGACTCACAGAGCAGAATCCTATTCAGTCAAGGCCCCTGAACTTTGGAACTGTTTTCAAGTCACCACAAATGTATGTCAGTATACTGGGCATTTCATTCAGAAAATCTAGTCTCATCATTTGGTGTATTTGAAAATGGAAAATGTACTGTGTACATCACATAGCAAACTTCTCACAGATTTCCTAACAACCATTTTCTCAAGGACTAGGAACTGTGAAAGTGTCTGTCTTCCTCCTGGTTTTGAAAGCCAGAGACGGTTCCATCAGCTGGTTCACTCTACCAAATGTCCCCAGTAGTCAGGGGTAGGACAGGCCAAAACCATGAACCAGAAACTCTTATCTAGGCCTCCCGCACAGGTAGAAGGGATGCACATGCTTGAGCCATCACCTCCTGCTGCAGGGATCTTGTGGCTGGCGTTGGAAGCCAAGCGGGACTTGAACCCACACACCCCGAATGCTGTCCTCCCGCTGCGCCAAACACTGTTTACCGAGTATGGTTCCCGTTTACTTTCCTTTCGAAACAGGCAACTTGAAAAAAAAAATCCGTGGAATTAAAGAGCTAGGTTTGTCATAAAAACATTAAATGCACATAAATTTTGATCATGGAAAATGAATATTATAAAAATGCTGCGTGCATTTTAAATTTCTACCAAAATGAACTATCTTTGAATTTCATTTTTCTATGAGCTTTTTCAAGTCCCCTTGTTTCTGCCTCTCCACCAGTAGGATGGGCCCAGGTGAGGATTCATATGTCCTCTTCTGGTTGTGTTTAATATTGTGATGGTATCCTTCATGAACTTCAATAACTTTAAGTATTTTTATACCTAAAAAAATACATCAGCATAAACTCTTCAAGGAGGATCTATCAAGTTGGAGTTGCAACCACCCCACTTCTCATGCTTGTCTAATTCATCACTGTAAAATGCACACAACATGCCAGGTCAATCATTTCGCAGTGGCTTTCCTGGTGACAATGTTAAGTAACTGATCTTACTTTTATCACTCCCTTTCTGTATCTGTTCATATCATTTTCAGTTCTTAATTTTAAAACCTGAATGGTTGTTTTACTCTATAGTTATTAATGAACTTGGCTTTCTCCATTTCATTTGTTTGTGCTTCCCTCACACCATATTCATTAAAACAAAACAAAACAAAACAAAAAAACAAAACCACCAAGATTTGCTTGGAGAATACTCTGACAAGCTCTTAAATACTAAGTTAAAAATCCTAGAACTAAACCCCCAAGTGAATGTTCTGAAGTAGAAACTTACATAGTCCATCAACTCATGTCCAGCGCAGTTGATGGCCAAGTGCAGATTCGTTCCCAGCTCCAGCTCTAGATTGGTACAGACGCCCTGCAGCAGGAGCAGTGGCTGCTCGATGGTGTCACAGCTGATGGTTAAACAGCCGAGATGGGACATCTTACTGGGAAGCGGCTGCTGCAAGGTGCAAAGGCGTCAAGGCACATCAGTCGAGCATGTTCAGTTTCTCCTCGTGTAGCTCATGACAGGTCCAGTGGAAATGGACACTGCCCTCCCCACAGCAGGCCTTTGCTTCTGCATGCCTCCTGCCACTAGGTCTCACGCCCATGACTTGGGCACGCACTTTCCCTGCAGTATCTGGGGACAACCGTCTCATTGCTGGCATTTTCCAGGTTTAATCTGGAAGCACACTTTCTCTTTCTCCTTCCCTGTCTTTCTCCTTCTTCTATCTCTTTCCCTCCCTTCCTCTCTCTCTCTCTCATGATTCTATTTGTTTGAAAGATAAAGTTACAGAGAAGGAAGAGAGAGAGAGATCTTTCTCAGGCTGGTTCATGACATAGAAGGCCTTAATGGCCAGGGCTGGGTCAGACCAAAGCTGAGAGTAAAACTATTTCCAGGGTCTCTCACATGGATGGCATAAGCCCCAAATACTTGGGCCATTTTCTTCTGCTTTTCTTAGGCTAACAGCAAGGAGATGGACTGGAGGTGGAGCAACCAGGACATGAGCTGGCACCCATATGAGATGCCAGCATGGCAGGTAGCACCTTTACCTGCCCTACACTTTTCCCTATCTAATCTGTTATTTTTTTACCCCTTTATCAGCTCAGCCATTGTTTAGAGGTGCTGGCCTGAGCCTCAGCCCGCTGGCCAATGAGTACCCAGGCTATCCCTGTGGTGGCCATCCTGCCTGGCTCCGATTCTGTCAGGCCCCTTCTCCCAAGCCTGCTCTTGCCCATGGCCTGGGTTTCTTCCAGGCAAACATGACTGCTAAAAAAATATCACCCTCATTCAGGAAAAAGTGCCATTTTTAAAAAGTATTGGCGACTTTGGCAGAAAGGATTTAACACTGAAGACATGACATGTGCTGCTAGTGCCAACTTGGCTTTGCTGTGCCCTCACCACTCACTGTGACTGGGCAGCTGAAAGCTGAAGCAGCGCTGTGATTCTGGCATTAGAGTCTGCATGCTGAAAGAGTTCCCCAACTCAAGAGCAAACAGGAACCCAGATACAAATATTCCTGTGTCATTAGTGGGTGCAGACTCATTAGAAAAACCAGGCAACTTTTTCATGCCGCTGTGTCTGTTCAGGCGTTTTTCCTCTCCAGTATCCCTGCCTGAAGCAACCATGTTTCTCTCTTCCAAGGCCTCTCCTTTTCCCGGTCCCTCTCTTCTTGACCTCAGCAGACCCAACAGTCCCTGAGAAGAGGAGAGGGCTGGGATGTCTAGCTTTTCTGAGTAAATCCTGCAGAGGGAGCAGCCTTCTCTCATTCCAGTCTCTCCTGAGTTTCCATGGACGGTTCCCTTTGCATTGCTGACATTCTGGGCACACAGCAGGTGGCCCATGGCAGATTCATATCAATCACTGAAATGATAGGGTGGCCAAGCCCAGATGTTTTCCAGGGCTCCCAGGTTGGGTTGGCCATTTGCACAAGGAGGACTGTTGGGAAATTCCAAGTTCCTGCCCATGGTTCATGCGAAATGATGCTTCATTGCCTTCTTGGGGAAGGGATGGCCTTCATTTTTGTGCCTTTGTGCCTTTGACAGTGGGAAGATGAAGGCCTACAGCATTCTGTCTGCCTTCTGTTCGTTATCAGGAGGCTCAGATACCCAGATACTTCACCTAGATGGTCAAATGCCAATGCCATCCTGTTAACTCAGATGTGCTTCCAAGCCTTCTGAGATTTTGGCTGGACAGGTGCTTGTTGGCAGTGATGCCGGTTGCCAGAAATGCAAGGATAGGATCATGGCCTGCCTCTGGGAGCACTTCGATTAGTATTCATGGGCAATACTGATGTGTAATTTCTATTTCCCCGAGCCTCGCACTTGGAGCAAAATGATCACGGGGGAGCGAATGGAAATATATCCATGAAGTTATCATCAGAAGCTGGGCAAGCAAATGCAGATACTCACCTGACCTCTCTTATTCCCATTATGTCCTTTTTTGGTCTCTGCTTTAGGAGGCGGCAGCTGTGGGATAGAAAAGAAAAACACCACTTGGGATTTGCACAGATGTCTATGCAAACAGTTTAGGTATCTACCCTGCCCACTGCTCTGGGGCTCTGCCAGTCACATGGTAAATCTCATACATACTGGCACGCACACATACATGTACATGGATGATTCTAGCCACACTCTTTTATAAGCCCCCATGATTCCTCAAATCCTGGCACTTGTTCCTTTGAGTACCCCTTAGTCATGTACCTGGGTATACATACATGGGCTCAGAAAATAGCTTGCACCCATCCTACAGGTGCAGCCAGTTTGTTTTGCAAGAGAATGGATATGCCTTTTATGCTCGCAAGAAATTATGACCCTGGGTTCCATGTTGTCATATAGTGGGTGAAGCCACCACCTGCAATACTGGCATAGCAAATGGTGCTGGTTCTAGTCCCAGGTACTCCACTTCTGATTGATCTGCCTGCTAGTGTGCTGAGTACAGCAGTGAAAGATGACCCAAGTGCTTGGGCCCCTGGATGCACTCAGGAAACCCAGATGAAGCTCCTGGCTCTTGATTTTGGATCAGCCCAGCTCTGGCCTGGTGTGCCAGGCAAAAGAGATCCAGTGGTGAACGAGGCAAGTACTGTGGAGCCTGCAGTCCAGTGAAGTGACATGTGGCTGACAAGCAGGCCAGCCAAGGGGATGCCTATGCATGCAGAGCAAGGGGACTTCATCTGCATGAGAACCCAGGAGGGGGCCTCTGAAGAAGCTGATCCTTGGACCAGCGTTACAACTGAGGCAAAAAGGGCTGTGTGAGGGCGCAAGCCCTCTCCAGACAGAGAGTGGCCATGTGAAGGATCAGAGCTGTTGGTGAGACCCAGGCCTGCAGAGGAGAGGTGAAAGCCAAGAGGAGTCATGTGACATGATCAGCTTAACAGCTGAAATCAAACCCAATGGCTTCTAAATATCATACTTTCTCCTGCAGCGCACTGTCTTTTGCAGCTCCAATTTACACTTGGTTACAGGGGAAACCTTGAATGCGAAGAACCTTGTTCCATTTCAGTAACAGCACAATTAACTACAAGTTGGCTACGAGACACTGTGTGTCAGCAACCAGTTTCTAGAGGATCCTCTACATACCGTGTCAACTGTCTTGTTAACTTGTTTCTGAATTTCCAGAAGCATCTCCACACCCTGTAAGTAGAACACTCATAGTTAACAGTCTAGACCTTTTACAGACCCAGTGTGGCTGTTTCTAACTCAGAGTATTTGTGCCTGCTGAATGGACAGTGTGGTCTACCAAATCACAAATGTACATCTTCACTCCTCCCCCATCCCAGTTTGCACCTGGGGAGTGTTATGTGAGAGGCTTCACTTCCTCAGCTGCCTGTCTTCATGGTATACAACCAATTGGCTTGTGGATTGGGTCACATCCACTTAATCCCCTTGACCAGCCTGGAATGACCTTTTTGCTGCACATGTTGTATAGGTCACCAAGGAGCCTGGATTAGGAAGGCTTCATCAAGTTAAATCCACTGTCTCTTGGTGATGATGAGCTCCCTGCTTGGGGATGGATGAAGAATGGCTGGCCAAGTGCCCTGCCACCCAGACAGCCTGAGACATTAACTAAAGGAAGGATCCTGGTGCTGGGATGTGACCATGATCTGTCAGCCAGAAATCCTAGCCTGCTGACTTTGACCAGTTGTGAAATGATTCTGTTAAGAACAGAGTCGTCATCAAGAAATGATCTTGAAATTTCTTTTTGTGATTTATATTGACGTAGGTAAAATATCTCTCAATATATTACTGGTTGGGGACTGTCCTTTTTCTGAAAATACCCCCTGTAAAAAAAGTTCTCCCAAATACCTAGTGGGTAGTGTGTTTCTGGGTGATTTAAGAAGGCACAGGGCCTCCATCAGGCCACTGAAGAGCAACCCAGACAGCAGCATGCCTTGGAGTGCTGACCACACAACTGAGGGTTCATTTACTCCACGGACAGCTCTGAGGTGCCAGGCTCTGTGCCAGGCCTGGAGATCCCACTGAAAGAAGTGTGATCGCCAGGGAAGAGCCAGCGTCCACCTCCTGTTGCCACACAGTGCACAGAGCAGCCACAGACATGGCTTGCCATCCCCCAGCAGCAATCTGCCAGCACTATCCAGGCCTGCAGAGTTACTGGTCCTGGCTTCTCTACGAGTCACTGGCAGAAGCCAGTGCTGCAAGGGACCTGACATCTAGGTGGCCTACATGTGTTCCCCTTCTGTTGAAGGCCTTGCTTTCTTCCCATGTCCCCAGTTTCCTGAAATAGTTGCTCTTATTTTACGTCCAATGCCCTCTCCCTATCAATGATAGAACGTATGCCTCCAGTGAGATCAGGCAAGGTACTTGTTTGGTTGTTAATCCAGGGTGGGGGATGCAAATCACTTCTTTCATTAGATTGAGCTTTCCAGGCGATGACTTCCCACAGCTCATCAGAGAGACCATCAGCAGAGGCACTCTCAATGTGAGCGGTACTGGCGCTTCCTGAAACAGCAGGGCAAGGAGAGGGCAAGTGAGACCCTGGGTTCATCTTCATTGAGATACTCAAGGATCCTTGTGATGGACCCCAACAGATACTAACCTGACCATACTTTAGTGATGCGATGTTTAAGTACAGAGGCCTGTTGCCCAGGATGGCACTGGTTTTGGCAACAGCTAATGACACAGCCCCTATGGCCATACTGCCGTGGAGCACAGGCTCAGCGGGTTCTGCAGGTATAATGGGTTTCTCTGGAAGAGTTTCCTTCCTCCCTGGAAAGAAAAATATTGAGAAGATATTTCTTTCTGGAAAGGTCAACTACAAAAAGACCATCCATCTTAATGGTTAACTTAAAAAAAAAAAAGATGAAAATCTCTATTCCAGAGAAATTTTCTGTTTCATCCACCAATGTTCAAATAACCCTTAGGCACAGATGAAATTCTAGGCCATTCAGTGTCAACAACATCAATGGTTCCATGAAATGGATTTTGTTGTCTCACGTTTACATCTGAATCTGTAGGGGTTGGGGCGCCCAGTGAGTGGACAGAGGATTTGGAGTTTTCACTGTGCACACCCAGTTCTAGATTCTTTCCCAGCTCTACAAGTGCCTTTCAGATCTACCCATCCACCCAGAATTCTTCTCCATCTTTCACTTCAACATATTCACAGCCACTTGCAGGTTGAGGCACCACATGGTTCAGTACACACTGGCATTCCTCTAGCCTTCTTTACAGCCACTGGCCCGGCTCAGGCCCTCAGTGGACATCAGGTTTGTAAGCACCCAGAGCATGGTAGGTGCTTAGTAAATTACCGACTTTTGGGGCCAGCATTGTGGAACAGCAAGTAAAGCTGAAACCGGCAATACCAGCATCCCATATGCATGCTGGTTCACATCCCAGCTGCTCTGCTTCCAACCCAACTCCAAGCTAATTAAAAGCACTAATTAAAAAGAAAAGAAAAGCACTGCTCACAGTGCTTTCATAAATGTTCATCTATGAGAAGTCATTTTAGCTTTCAAATAAATGAAACTGGAGGGTGCCAGGTTGAATAAAACCCTGGTCATCTACAGAGCAGCTTCAAGTGAGAAAATGGCATGGAGAATGACTGGCACTGGTTGGAATTTGAGCTAGGTAGAAGCTGCACTGGCTGGAAGCTGCACCTGGGTTTGCAGCGGAGACTTGCAAAGACATGACAAGCCTGGATCTTGCTTCCTCACACATTTCTTGTTGGGGCTTCTGCAACATGATTCGCCACCAACCTGGCTTTTGTGGCTTCTTTTTGGAAGGAGGTGGAGGGGGTGCAGGTGGTAGCAGGGGCATCGGTATAGACAGTGTTGATTTTTCCAGGTTCTTTTCCAATTCTTTTCTTTCCTTTTCTTCTTGTACTTTATTTGCAAAGAATGTCCTTAAATGGCAAGAAAACAGGGCTTTACAACAGAATATTTACCAACATTGCTGTCATTCCGGTCATGTTGTAGAAATGACCTTAACATGCCTCAGTTGTTCAGCTCTACATTTTAGTTATTTAAGAACAAAACAGCTTCAAGTTCCAAAGCCAGAAACTAACGACACTGTTACAAGACTGTGTTCAAGAATTTCATTTTTGGCCTGAAAACTGTTTAAGGATTTCTGGTACTCATATTTGAAATTATTTGACACCTATTTGCATTTTTTACAGAAACATTCAAAACTATAACTTGATTCAGAATAGCCAGACGTTCTTTTTTATGAAAATGACCATCAGGAAACAAAGATACCATGAGGAGACGGTGAGAGGTAGTACTATGTGCAGGGTTTCTCTCTTTGTTTTCAGAGTGAGGAACTTCACTAAAATAACTTAGGAAGCTCTACATACGTACATGTTCATAAAAGTTCAGCCTCTACAAATAAGAAGCTAAAAACGTCCACAGACAAAACGAAGGCAAACAAAGAAAACAAGACACAAAAAAAATCACATTTGCATTAAACTAATCAATAATCCAGATGCACATGGGACAGTGGCTTTAACATATTCAAGAAATTTGGTTTCGAGACAGAATTCTGTACTCAGCTAAATTATCAAGCCTGAGGGCAGCGAATTGACATTTCCCACATATGTAAGAACTTTAAATCTATGTGGGGTGGGGAGAGTTTAGCTCAGTGGTTAGGGCACCTGTGTCCCAGACTGGAGTTCTGAGGTCTGGTTTTCCCCTCCTCTCCTAATTTCAGCTTCCTGCTAACACGGACCACAGGAAGCTGGGGTGGTGGCACAGGTGACTGGGGTTCCTGCCACTCATGTAGGAAGCCAAGAATGAGTTCTCCGCCCTTGCTTTCAGGCCACCCCTGACCTCAGCCATTGTTTGGAGAGAGCCAGCAGATGGGCGCTCTGTTCCTCCTCTTGAAGGAATGAATTGGAAAACAGACCTTTGAAGTCCGCATATCCTTCCTTATTTTTACTTTCAAGGGATATAATCCAGCAAATCAGGAACGAAGATGGCACAGGCTCCAGAAAACACGAGAAAATGAAGTTTCCATGGCATTCTGGAGAGCTGGAGAGGCACCAAGCCAGATGGAAGGTTTGGGAATTGAAAACTCCAGGAAAAAAAAAAGGCAGTAGAAGGTATGGCAAAGCTCTAGCAGAGAGAAGCAGATTAAAGAAAGAAAAAAAAGAATAAAGAGTAGCATTCAGAAACTCTCCAAGAAATTAAAACTATTCAAAAATATTTTCACAAAAGTCATCATCTAACTCGGAGGCAAACTAAAACACATACCCAAGCATCATACCCAATTAAGCAAATGATAAGGCTTAAGAAAAGTGAATCCAGTTGACCTGTTTGGCTAAGAGGATGTGACACTGAACCTGCACAAAAAGAAGTCAGTCAAAGCAGTTATCTGTCTAGGCACAACCAAGTACTTACAAATACTTGTGCGGCCTTCGTGACTACAGCTTCCTTGGTTCTCACATTCCAGAGTCAACCTATGGGCAAAGCATGGCAGGCATGCTTGTAGCTGGAGGACACGATGTACCAGCGCTGGGACCACAGGAAAGCAGGTGAGAAGCCCAGAGGTGGCACAAGGCCATGGGGCAGGAAGGGCCACTATCTGTGTCCATCACTCGATTATGTCCCTAAGCAGCTTTTGACTGCATTACAGGATAGCTCTGACCAGGAGAAAGGACTGGGAGGCTCTCCCTGTTTTTACCCAGTCAACCACAAGGGTATTTGGAGGGAGAAAGAAATATTTGATGCTAAAATTTTGCTGCTCTAACATAAAGTTTCTTTGGTAGGCTTCCCCAATGTGTACATTCCACAGTGAGATGGAAAGACAACCATTACATGTTCAACCCCGATGCTTCCACTTTCCAGTGGGAGCCATACCTAAGCGTGAGGTCCACTTCGGCCTGGCTGGAGGGCTCCATGCCCTGCAGCTCCTCGCTGATGCTCTGGTTGACCCACTGCATGGCTGTGCTCACTGCCTGCTTCCTTTCCACCTCTTCTGCCTCGACCAGCTCTGGCAACGCGTTATCGAGGACGTCAAAGTGGGTTGGGATCACCAGCGAACAGATACTCTGAAAACAGTGCAGACATGCTCCACATCTCATTTACTTCTCGCAGAATACAGGAAATGGAATGAAACCAGCTTTTAAAGTGCATGATATTTTATCCTCAATTTCAAGGAAAAAAATGAGAATATGTCATTTTCTTTGAGATATTTTTATAGCCACTGAAACGCTATGGCACTCTGCTTGACAGAACATTTAAAAGTTATTGTCTGGTTCAAATACCCTTATAGAAATTCCACATTAAACTTTATTTTTCTGACTATCTTTCTAATCAATAACTATAAGAATATGAACAGATTGAATCCCACCTTCCCAGAGACTGCAACAAAATTATTTCTAATGCATATATAGCAGAGTTGTTCAAATGGTTAAGTGAATTATTTTCTTTATATAGACCAGTCTATGTGCTTACACACCATTTGGATGAATCTGTAGACCTAAACATAGATCCACAGAAGTCACCACATGGCAACATCGAAGCTTGAACACCATATATGCTTCATTGCCCTTCTCTATCTTGGACCATTCTCCAGGCTAGCATGCCATGTATGTATTAAAGTTAAACATAATGAAGCCATGAAGTTCAGCTGTATGACTCAGGCTAACATGACTGCCTGCAAATAAATAGCAGATACACTTCATGGACACTGAATTCCAAAGCACTTGATGATCTACAACTTAGTTTAAGAGTTGCAAATACATGCACTGTTTACCAGAACACACTACAGAGCACATTTAAACAGCTTCATACCTTGGGGAAGTTTTGAACAGTGCAGAATATTTCCACTTGTAGGGTGGGCAGCCCCAGTCCATCTAGAACACTTTTTCCCACTATTTTGCATATGGTGGGAGGCTTTGCAAGTTTAGAGAAACAGTTGGCCTTTGACACATACACAAAGGGAAAAGAAAAAAACACAGAGGTCACAATATTGCATGCCCTTGACCTTCCCCAGGTCATTCACATTTCCTCCAGTTTTCCCCCAATCCCCTTTGAGGGTTCTTCCTGGTGCCAGGACAAGATGGGCTGCCCCACAGGCGATCCTGCCCTCTCGCACCCTCAGGCTCAGCGTGACGTTCAGTTCTGATATCTGAATGCAGTTTGGTGTCTTTTGAGCTCACAGTAGAAAGTCACAGACTTTTCTTAACTTAGGGGCCCCGTGCTGTTGTAATTTAGCAGACTTTCTTGCCATCAGCAGTCCCCTGACTCATCTCTGTGTCCAGGGTCCAGTCATCAGTGAGTCCATCATGCAATCCAGAAGAAGCCACCTGAAGCGGGCTGTTTTCCTCCCGGCATGAGGTCTCTGGTATCTAACGAAGACGACATCCAGCGGCCACTCACACACTAGTGTGCAAGGAGCCTTGCCAGGAACCTTAATCATAGGCACGCCACTGACGCAGAGGGATAGAGGAAGGAAATAAAAGAAGGGGAGAAGGAGGAGGGGGGTGTCGACATGGAAGGCCTGCTCCAGGGAGCTGAGCAAAAGTGTTTGTGATGATGCTGGAGAGACAGAAAGAGGAAAAAGCAAGGAAACCCCTTTCTCGCTTCTTCATTATCAGAGAACCTGGCCCTTTGTTTTACTGTAATGGACTAGGTCTCTGATCTCTCCATCCAATGCCCTCATCCAACACCCACAGCAATGTGCCAGCTCAGAGGCAGGACCTGGCAGAACTAAAGCAAAAGTTAATTTCTAAGCCACCCATGCATTTGAAGGCCTGCATGCTACAGTAGAGTCAGAACACAAATGAATTTAGATAGAAGCAAAAGAGGAAAGAAAAGGTTGCCATCTTATTAGACTTTATGTGTCACCATGAGTTCTGCAAGCACTAAGCATCCTCGGTGTGTTGCAGCCTCTGCTGGCGAGGGAAGAGAACTGGTGCTTTTCACCTGCACCACGTGTCCTGAAGGAGGTGATTATGTCATCTCCATCACTGGCTCACACACCACAGAGCAGGATTAAGGATTCCACGCCTTTGCAGACTGTGTAGACGCTATCATTAAATCCACATCTCCCACTTCTCCTTTCACCTAGAGGAACACACTGGATAACAAATTGTCCAAGTTCACACGATCCATTATCTATTGATTTTGTAAGCCCAAAACTTCATGGCTTCCATCATTTATTTGCCCGTGATTCTCCAGTCTGGGCTGGGTAACCCTTTCACTGGTCATATCTGGGGTCTCTTATTGCAGGTGCAGAGCCAGGCTGGCTCAGCCAGGGGTCAGTCTGGGAGTCCATCTCATTCTGTTTGAACTCTCCCTCTCCAGCAGGGTAACTGGACTTCCTCACAGTGAGGTGGCAGCTTCCGAGAACATGAGCTTCAATATGCCAGCACTCACTAAGCCTTGATTTCTACGCTGCCTGCCAAAGTCCTACTGATCAAAGCCAAGACATGTGAGCACATCCAGGCTCAATGTGCGAGGGACTCTGAGACAGTGTCCACAATGGAAGTATATTCACTGGGAGACTACCAATGCAGTAACCTCCAGCGGTAGGTAAGTCACACAGCTAAGCATCGGCCCTAGGTCTGCTAGAGTCTCAGTCAGAAGATCTCCCAATCCTAAATTTCAGGATGAAGTATAAATGGTGTTGCTATTGCCGGCAGGGGCTCTTGTCCATCGCCGGAATTCATGTGTCTGAGAGGGACAGAGGAACACTACTGTAACACACAAGGGAGCGGAGTGGAGGACAAACACTTCATGTGAGGGAACAGAAGTAATGGGGAGGGGAGAGGGGAACTTTGGCTCTTAGGAAATCGAAAGTGGTCCAGGAAAGAAGATGTGAGGCAGGTGGAGGGAATGGGGGCGAATCTGTTCCCCACAGGTAGGGCAGAGCATCGTGAACCAAAGCCAGGCAGGTGTGTGATCCTACTATGCAGGGGGAAAATCTACGGGAGGGTTCTCATCAAGAGAATTACGGGCAGACTTGAGCCCTATGAAAACTGTCCTGGCAGCGCCTTGCAGGCTGGGCTTACAGAGAAAGACTGATAGGAATCAGGATGACCAAAACTAGGGCAGAGTGACTGTCAAGATAAAAAAAAGGAGGTGACCCCTTTGTCAATACGATTCCTGAAAGTTCTTCACGACATGCAAGTCACAACTTTTCAGCTTTGCTGCAGCCCACAGAGTCTCCCCGACCCCGACGTCAGCCCTCCAGCCAGCACACAATCATGGATCACGGGATCTTTGGCTCCAGTGGTTACACCTATCGGCGGCTTCTGCAGAGCATGGCCCGTGGAACAAGAGCCCAGGGTTCTCGTCTTAGTTTGGTTCCTGAACACTTGTGGGATACTGGCTTCGTGCCTTTGTAAAATGCAAAAACTAGACTAACTTGGCAGAATTCTTCCACAGAGAGAGAGCAGGGAGGATAAAAGTGTGAGCCACGCCCTGATGCCTTAAGCTTAAGCACTGTGCTAGGTTATTAGGGACACAGATTTGGGTTGATTTATTCATGTATTTATTTTCCTTCTGTGATTCTTGGGAAAAACCATTTAAAGTCCTTTGGTTACGTTCATGTGTAAATCTGGAACCATCGCTTGCAGTTCACAGCCGTTCTAAGGATTAGATGATACACAGCGGAAGGAGGCACATATACGCTCTGGGCTATGGGTTATGACCGCTCCAGAAACACAGTAGCACCAGCAGTCCAGAGCTACCTGGGCAGAACTTGGAAGGGCGAAGGGGGAGAGGGACTGGTCAGGTTTTCCAGCCTCCCGGCAGAGAAGCCCATACAAACTTAAAACCCCAACATCACCTGGACTTAGAGGGGCCAGCTGGAAGCGGCCCCAGGCAGGGCTGAAGCCAAGTCCCCCCAACAACCAGGGCAGGCACTCCGTATTCCAAAGAAGGCTGAAGGCAGGGGCTTTAAACATACAGCCAGCTGCAGGCCGCTCGGGAGAGGGGACCGCTGACGCTCAGCAGGCTCTGAGCTATCCCTGTGGCTACACATCCGCCAGCAGCCCTCCAGCTGGCTGCGTCCTTTCTAGCACTTTCTCGGGATTCGGCCTTCGAGGGTGTCCTCCGCCCGGCTTCTTCCCGCCACCACCGGCCTAGCCACCTGCGCCGACCGGGGCGGCTGCGCGCACGCGCGGCCCTGCGGCGCACGCGCCCCGCTTTGCCGCAGCGCGGGGAGCGCGGCCGGAGGGCGGAAGGAGGCCGCGCCAGGTACTGACCAGGTGCCCGTACACGTCGGCCGGCTGAAGGTAGAAGGTGGAGTTGAGCAGCTCTTCCAGCCGGCGCGGAACGCCGTTCTCCTGGTAGTACTCCATTGCCTGCTGCTTCAGCCTCTGCAGCTCCCTAGGGGTCCCGCAGCCGCGGCCGCCACCGTCGTCCCCCATGGTAGGAGCTTTCAGGCTTCAGCGGGGTCTGGCCCTGGGGGCCCGCGAGCGTCTTCTGTCGCCAGGCAACGCAACGAGATCCCGACCCTAGATCTCGCGAGCCTTGCAGCCTTAGGTTCCCCCTCCTTCTGGGCTCTCCGTTGCAGGGTCGGGTCTGGGGGTCTCGTTTCTCCAGTGACCCGAGTCTAGCGCTTTCCCGGCCTCGTTCGTCGTCACTTTTTCGGGATGGGGAGAGGTTTAGCGTTCTCCGGAAGCGCGTCATGCAGAGGCGTGGGAGGATTCACCCCGACTATCTCTTAGTGCGCCCCCCCCCCATTCCGGGACTCCCCTTGCATCACCTGCCGAGAACCCAGAGTGTTGTCCCCGTGCTGTGGCAGTCCCAGGAATCCATTTTTTCAGCCCCTTGTTTGTTAACGACCTGCCATTAGGCAGGAGGAGAAAACTGGTTGTGTGTGTGTGTGTGTGTGTGTGTGTTGGGGGGATTTGGGGTGAGCTTTCAGGAGCGAGGAATGTGCAGGTGGGACAAGGGGAAGTGAAGTGGCGTCCTTGTGTCGCCCTAGGGCAGGCTGTTTAAATCCAGGCTGCCTGCTTGGCTTGGTGACCCCCAGCAGGTGTCCTCTGCGGTGAGGGGAGTTGGTGTGCTGTGCTGCCCGCGTCTACTGCCGCAGGGATAGACCGAGAGGGAGCGAATGTTGCCGATGTAAACAGATTACTTAACTCCTCTGCCTTCTTCCTTACTCCCTTAGGCTGCTGAGAACGCACTTACAAACGGGATCTGTGTTTTAGTAGGTGCCCGTCTGCATGCACATGAGCAATGTACGTTCTCCACGTGGACAACAGGCCCTGCACCCCCACTGGCTCCCTGCTTTCCAAAAGAGGCCCCTGTGCACCTGCCTTGCCCTGCCTGCTGGAAGCCCCTTGGTGGTGGGGATGAGTCTGGCTCACTCCCTCCTCCACATCCTCCACAGACTAACCCAGCTGACAGGTGTAGAAAACAGGGTCTGTCTGATTTGGCATTTGACTTTGAAAACTTTGTCACGTAGTTATTAGAGGAAGAGGAAGCTCCCACCTGCTGTTTCACTCCCCAGATGAGAACAGAAGATGGCCAGGGATGGGCTGAAACGGAAGTCAGCAGCTGGGTCAGCATTTCAGGCAGGAACCCAGTTGCTTGAGCAGCAGCACTGCTTCCAAGGCCTGGAGCCTGGTTGAACCCAGGTGCTCTGGTGTGGGACCCAGATCTTGTAACTGCTCTTAACCTGTTCCTGACTTGACATTTGGAAGGATGGTTCAAAGTGCCCTTCCTCTTCCACAACGTTTTGAGGTCTCCCTTCCCTAGCCCATGGCCTCTGAGTGCCGTGAGAATGGGGACCTGCTCTGTCTTGTTCACCACTGTATCCACAGCATCAGTGTGTTACCAGACTGAATCGAAGCTAGTGAGCGGTGTTTATACTTCTCTTAGCAGAAAGGTGGAGAAGTGATCTGTGGGCAGTCTCTGAGAGAACTGGAATGGGGATCCCACCTCCATGGTCAATGGATCCTTAACCCAGAATCAGATGTTTTGGAATTGAGTGAACAAGGAGAGTGGCTGCCTGGTTGGAGCACAGGGCTTGTTAGCCAGAAAAATGAGAAACCAGGGTGGAAAAAAACCAGTCTGGGGCAGAAAGTCCTGTCCCATCTGAGTAAGTAGCAGCCACAAATTCATGAATGCAGGGTAGGTGAGATGGAGGTGATGAGATAGGTGGTGTTGAGTCCTCCCAAATACAAGAGACCCAAGTAGAAAATGATACAGATTTAAGTTCTAAAACAATGATAGCATTGACAGATGAGATAGAATAGGAAGGGAGGATGGAAGTGGCTTTGCATGACTGGGTACAGGATTGGGGGAGGGAGAAGTCGTGGATGACTTGTGTGACAGGTGACAAAAGATCAAGGAGTGGTCTGATTTCAATGCCTGGCCTTGGCTTTAGGGTCGCAGAGTTTGAGGAGCGCTGATTTCCCAGAGGAAAGAGAAGGCTGAAGGCACCAAAATGGGACGCCTAGCTGGGGCTCAAAGTTGGAGAAAGGACAGGTGCATCATCTGCAGGGAAGAGGGGAGAATCCATTGCAGTGAGAACCTTACAGTGGAAAAGAATGTGTGTCTGACATAGGGCAAGGGCAAGGTGCTGCAACAGGAAACAAAAAGGGCTTAGACAAAGAGGGAAAAGTTCAACTCACAGAGTCTGTGGGAGACACCAGTCTTTGACAAGACACTATCTTGTCTTTGGGTGATGGGATCATATGAACTTTAATGGTTTTCCATATCTTTATTGATAGTATATGATTTTCTTAAAATGAATGAGTTACTTGTATAACTTTGGAAAATGTCACTAAAAGTATTTGAGGAAAGGATATCACATAAGGAAGATTGAAGACAGAAACGATTATTGGGAATTTAGTGACTGCCTTTGTAGATTTATTCCATCATCTCAAATAAAACTACCTAGAGGCAAAACATAAATAAACTACCACTCCAGTCTAACTTTATTGTTCATTCCGTATTTATTGAATGTCTACCATGTGCCAGGCACTGTTCCAGGCATCAGTGAGTCAAATCAATTTACAGTCCTCCTAATGGCACATATCAGTAACACCCAGTAGCACTTCGTAGTCATTGGAATAAAAGATGGAAGTAATAGACATAAAAGCATTTTGACAAGTTGTTAGCCTATATAATCTAAACAGAGCCAGAGTCAAGAACATAAATCTTCCTGTTTTTAAATTTTGTTTGGATGTTAGGAGCACTGGCGATTTAGCTTGGAGATGCATTCAGGCACAGCAGATGTTGGATATCCAGACAATCCTTGTTTTAGTACCTTCATCGTTATATTTCTGTTTCATGCTGAGACTAAGTGTCCAGGTGCACTTGAGAGAGGCTGGATATGGTATGAAGCATAAAGGTACCAACCTGGGGAGTTTGGGATGGGAGGGAGGGAATGGCTCAGGAGATTGAAAAGGTTCCTGAAACCTCTTTTGGAAAGAGGACATGAGGGTACAGATCTCTGTCAACATCCCGGGAGTTGTACAGTGTGAGACAGGGAGAATGAGGAAACCTAGGTTGGAGTCCAGTGGTCCCTAAGCTCTTGCCTCATCTGTCAGAAAAGAAGTTTGAGCTGCATCCGTGTAACCTCTTTTAATCATGAATTCTTTATTTTTAACAACCAAAAAATTGAGGCCTGGGACCCCCCTCTTTGTACCGCTATCCTGACTGTGAGCTCAGAAGTACTTTTGGGGACCTTTATATTTTATTCATGGAAACTCTGAACATAAGAAAAGAACAGACTTACGGGGAAAGCCATTTTTCAGTTTGGGCTGTGTTTGGAATTGTGGGCCCCTACAAAGTCCACAGGCTTGGTTGGTCTGGAACAAGGAGATCTGGAACTGTCCATCTGAGATCTGTCCTACTTTGTAATACTGATTCAAACACACACACGTCTATTCCAACCTGCCCTCTGAACCCTTAAGGAGGAAATGAACCATTCTAGAGTCTGCCTGTCTAAGCTATGTCAGATGTATTCTACATACGTGAGGATGAAGAAGCTTGTATTTGTTCTTTTTTTTTTTTAATCTTTTCCAACACCTTTATTGCAATTGGAGCTTGTTTACACAACTTCAGTGTTCAGAGTGGTTGCTTAAATGCTGTTTTGGGGTTGCTATCAAGAGCTTGTTAATTCCTCTTTTCTGCATTTGACATCTGTGTTGAATATCAGTTTTCAGAGGGAACTAATGAATGTGATGGCAGGTGCCTTTAATTATAGAATCATAGCAACGAGAGACAGAGTAGATGGAAGACTTTGCCTTTCTCTCTGAAAAACAGGAGCATTCAAGTTCACCTTGCTCACCCAGTTGTCATGGATGAGAAATGTGATTGCCACACTGAATACAAATATAAATACCTGCAAATTAAATGCTAAGTAGTCAAAGTGGCAGTAATTTGACTTATAAAAGAGGTGTTCTTAATTTGTTTATTTTCCATAAATATGTCTCCCAGAAGTAGCCATTACCACTGTAGTAAGAGCAACAATAACAACCATAAAGCCACAGCAGACACTGCCTTTGATTGAGTTCTTTCATACGCCTAGAACTTTCCTTACATGTCAGTGAATCTGCGTCACATCCACACAAGGTGGGTGAGCAGCCCAGGATTGCAAGGGTGATTAATAGCACTGGTGAAATGTGAGCCAGATTCAGCTGACTTCCCTGGCTTTCCAGGGTAGCTGCCTGTCTGGCCAAGCTGGAAGTCTGAGTACCATCTGGGGTCAGCTTCCTGGAGGAGGCACCCTTCCTGGAGGAGCTGGGTGAGTTGCTCCCGTGGAAGCCTGGGAGAAAGAGCTCTGGTGCTGTGTTCACGGGGTCTCAGCCAGAGCTGTGCATTAGGGTTGTCCAGGGATTCGGTGAGGCTCCACAAGGTGCCAATAGAATGTACGCACCTCGAGGAGGCAGTGTGCGCTCATGTAGTCCCTGCCGCAATAGCGAGCAACACTTACTGCAGACCAACTGGATTCCGGAAGACAGGGCCCATACATGGGTCTTTTTAAAATATAGAATATTAGTGGGGGAGGTTGAGCACTACTACTTTAGAGACTTTCTCCATGGATCCTGGCAGAAATGGAATGATGAGGCTTCCCTCAGCAATAACCTGTTGGCGCGTACAGCTGAGAGAGCCTGATCTTGTTTGGGTCTTAGAGCTAGGTTCCCGTCCCGGTTTGTTCTGTGCCAGGCTGTGTGACCTTGCACAAATTACTTACTCTGTCAGAGCCTGTCTCCTCAGCTACTGTGTTTACTTTCTAGGGAATAATTTACAAAAAAAAAAAAAAAAATCCACACAAACTACTTCCTGTCTGCCCAACGCTGGTAAACAATGCTATCACCAGATCAATTAAGGGAAAGGAAAATGTAGTTTCCGTAAGCTTCGTGTAGCTTTGCACAGGACTTCAGATTGAACTGAATAGATAGCGAAGCCC